TGGAGATAGAAGTGATAGGGGGGAAAGAGAGAGAGGGGTGTGCGATGTCTGTAGGCACATACTGTATGTGACCCTGCTGTGTCCTACTGTTTAAAGTCACATCAGCCACTTCTCATCAGCGTCAGTGCTGTTACAACTAGGTGTCCAGTGTTAAAAAACACAACCCTGCTGTGTAACAGTGGATCTGAAAGGTTTCCTGCCAACAAACAATGCCCTTTATTTTCCATCTGCTCAAACTGAAACATGAAACTCTACTCTTGTGGGAAACTATGTCCCTGTAGGTCATCCTCTCCGTTCACTATTGTAGTTAAATAAACTTACCTCTGCCTTTTTTCAGGGCTGTGTGTTGCTTTCATCATTATCAGTTTACCTGTTTAGTTTTCATTTTCCACAGAGCCAGCTTTGATTACTGCAAAGATAGTGATCAGCTCTTCAGGTTCTGTAACATAATAGTCTGCAAAATGTACAGAGAAAATACACTCACTGCATAGAATATTCAAGTTGAATATATTGGTTTTACACTAAATGCATGAATTCCTGGATATGTCACTTTATCTGGATCTGCTCTAAAATGTAAACGGTTCTTCCCTGAGTCATGTTCCAACCCCTCCGCAGAGTTTCATGGGAATCGGAATAGTTTTTGCGTAAATCCGCTGAGTCAGACATTCTCCTTGGCCGAGGTAATTATTACATTACAATTTAGTGAAAGGATTTTGTCAAAGTTGATGCAGTAAATAATCTGAAAGAAAAGTGATTTGGCAGCTGGAGTCAGTTTAAAAACTTCAAAATCTACACATTTATTAATCCATATTCATTCAACCATATCTACAGATATGTTATCCAAGTGTAAACTCCACTTTGTTGCTCTAGTATGAAGAAATATGGAGACGGAATTGTGAAACTAGCAATAGTTGGTGTGAATTATTTTGATGACGCACAAGACCTATAGAGGACAAGTGTTAGCTGTAATCTTCAGCAGATGGGATATCTGGAGCCGCCTGACAGTGCTCTCCGTCATCTGCCCAGTGTTTGCACATCAAATATTTTCTTCCTTTGCCAGTTATATCTCTGTTCAGGGTCATTCCCTTTTTGGGTAAACTGTGTTTTGGGTAAACTGTTTCTCATTATCTCAGCCTCTTTAAGGGATGCTGGTTTTTTTGTGAGTTATACTCGTGCTTTTTGTTGACTCTCACCACAGCACCATCTGGGTGTTGCCATTTTGACACTTTTGTTGTTCCTGCTGTGATGTCAGCACAGGTGCAATATGCTAGTGGAGATGATGGTTTGTGTCTTTTCCCAGAAGGGCGTGTCGCACACGTACACACACTGTGAGGGGAGTTACGCGTTAGAGGTTTGACAGAGATTCAGTGTCAGTCGTGACGCCAGAGTAAGTGTGACAATGATTCAGTTGTTAAACATATGCTTGGTTTAATTATTCTGCATTTTCACTTTCTCTCTCCATATCTGTCTGCTCGCTAACATGCACACATCCAGACACACACTCATCCCACAAATCTGCAGTAGAACAAACTGACCCACACCTGGAACGTCTACTTATAAATGAATTGTGTAATAGTGGGCTTTCACACCTGCAGTAAATATAACAGATGGATCACTACATGTGATAAAGGGGTGTAGATTGGTGGTTTTGTTTGAGTGTGTCCCCGTGTGTATGAAGATGAAACTGGTTTAGAGTGACATGTTTTGGTCTTGTGCTAAATATAGACACACAGTGAGAGGACTCAGGGACAGTGATTGTTATGACGTGTGTGGGATCGGGCTGTGTGATATGACGTCAAATCAATACCTGGATTACGATTAATGAACCATTGTTTTTACTCAACGTTGGTGAACAAGTGACTATGCTCCTCTGCTCTTTTCAATCACTCACATGTAGAACCGATATCTATAAAAACCTGCTGAATTAATATTTATGTTCATGGATAAACATGGCGTTGCTTCTTCTGCAACAATGAAGCTAAAGCACGGCGTTGCGTCATAATCTGTGTCTGTGTGCTCGTCTCTGTCGCTCATATTTGTTAAATTATCGTTCCATGAGGTCAGATCGTTCACGTCGCATTACGTTACGTCTCGTGTTGTGTGTGCGAGTTGTGTGTTGGACTTTTTGTTTAAATATTTCATAAACTGTCGAGCAAATCAAGGGAACACAAAGTAAACTTCACTAGTGTGCGTGTCCTTATTACTTGTGATTAGAGTTTATTTTTATTGTTATTAATGTGTAAATTAAGATCACATGTGGCAGGGTAATATAGCCAGGTACAAGGTACCGGGGCTGCCGCTGCAAAATCAACGTAGCGGAAACGTGACAGTTTGTGAACGCACATTGGAGAAAGTATTAACAGAATGAACCAACATGAGCAAGATTAAGTCGGTTAGAGGTTAGAAATGGAGAAAAATTGCTGGAGTCATCGTAACATATTACCTCTCTCTCTGTCTGTGTGTTTCTAAGAGCTAGTTCGACAGAAGGGTGAAGACAATACGATTGCCCTTTCCACAGTCATCAGGCAGACTGCCAAACTATCCCATTCCACAACTAAAGCTCACTCCCTCACTTATGTCCTGCATCTCCGAGATCACAGAGAGATAGCACAGAGTTTAGCCAATTATTTGTTGTGGAAAATATGTCTGGCATGTCCTGTGTTTACCATCGTAGCTGTGTCAGATGCTCGGGGAAAACCTTTTGTTTCTGATGTGAGGAGAAAGAAGAAACTGCACCTAAATGTAGAGTAGAGTAAGGAGTTAGAAGTTGTTCCTCTTACCTAGATTGTTTATGCTCCAAGTAACTAGCTATTAACAGGTTTAATATTTGAATATTTATTTATAAAAATATATCTAAATATATTTTAACCATTCACATATTCAGGTTCAACATTTTAATTTGCTATAAACGCTCTTATGTTATGAAAACACATCACTTTCATCACACTGTCCATTGCTGCAGCTCCTCTTTTCAGCCTCTGTCTGAAACCCTTGGTTTTAGCTCCTGTCTCTTTAAGGCCCTCCTCCCTATAAAGCCGCATTGCTATGATTGGCTAGTTCTCCCACTCTGTTGTGATTGGTCAACAGCTTCCAGCACGTGGAGGAAATGTCGGCCTCCACTCTCACTCTACCCGGCTTTGTCAATGGGTGTGTCAAACTAGCTGCTGCATGAAAATGTTGGGTATTGTGATGTTGTGGTACTGACGAGGTGTTTCAGGAGCTTCACCACACACAAGAGCAAAGGGAAAAACTGAAAAGCATAATATATGTCCTCCATACTATGGCAATGGGACTTGAAACTGCGATTCAATCTCATATTGTGATACAGGATGGAGGAACCACAACCTCAGATCCCAAAACTTGGTAGAAACCAAACCCAAGCTAGGTTGAAACTAGACTGCGTTGAATGGCCATGTTTGATACACTGACTCACATAGATGGATGGGATGATGAGTGGTAACGATAGATCCCATCTATAATACATGCTCATAGCTCAGAGTGTGTAAGGCTGAGCCGAGGACTGTGTCAGCGATATGGCAATGGGGACAGAAAAACTCAATGACTTCTTTTCTTCTTCCTCTTAAAATTGCTCTCACATAACATTCACGTTCACAAACCATGAGCACAATCGCTTATTTTCACACAAATCAAACTTGTTAAACACATTTTAAAGTGATAATAACTTGCACCTGTCAGTGGTCGCCTATGGCAGAGAATGTGAAACACCCTGAAGAAAATGTACAAACTCAAGATGGAGAAAAGGAATTGAACAGATAGCAATTTGAGTCATCTCTCATTGTGTAATGACAGTGTTTAATTGGATGTTTTAGTTTGGCAGTGTCCTTCCAGACCATTCAAACACAAGTGTATGTCCTCCTCCACTGTTCGTAGGATGTCCTCTTCTTTTTCTTTCAAATGAACATACAGACAATGGCAGGAAAGCACTAACATGAGCAGGGTGTCATAGATAACACTATTAAATGTGTGGCTATAGTCAGGATGATGATGACAAAGGGGACGTCATCCCTGTGAGTATTAAGCATCACGCTGAAGGGAATACCCCTGACCTTAGCATCCACCACCAGACGGGATTACAGGATTGCTCAGGAGCTCTAGCAATGAGGCAGATATCCCTAGTGACGGGCATTAGTCATCACCTGAGCGAACTATCACCTAGGAGACTAAGGAACTCATCGTGACATCACAGTGGGAGATGGTGTCAGTAGTTTAGAGACAAGGTTCAGCCGTGATCCGTGAAGTATTCCCTGTGGATCCCTGTGGATGTGCTGCTTTGACATCAACGTGTAGCACATAGCACAACGTCTACATCTATGAATTTGAATATTTCTGCATTCGTTCTGAGTGTTGATGATGTTCCAATTAATGCACCGCCACTCATAATCATCCAATAATCAGCCGGATAATGAGTGAGTGGCTGATTATAATTGGAATGCATCGCGCTTATGAGCAAGTTTACGTCAGCGAACTAGTGCCTGGAGCCAAGTATTGGGCCCACAAGCTGTGTACGTCATGCACAACATAGGCAGCTCATGCTGTGCTGTGAATTTACTGTACGTGTCGTGAGCATGGAGCAAAATCACAGCAACATATGGAAATGCAAGATGAAGCCTGTGCTGCTGCATCATCAAGACCTTTGATATGTGATTAATGTTTGCATAAAACCTGTGATTTATTTTGGCATGAACGGATGAGCTACATCATATACAGCACTGTGAAATCTATTGCAGACCTCACTTAGTTCATGAAGTTGAAGCATTAATTCATGCATGGGGTGCACTGAGACATGTAAGAAGTAAGTCTGGAGAGGTTGCATCTTTAAAAATCCCCAGGAAAACAGGGCAGCTGTATCTTTCCCCTCATATTTTCTGCTTCAGTGTCTGTATGTCAACGTGATCACACATGTTACTCAACCTGTCAAATATCATCAAAACAATGTTTTAATTCTATTTCTGCACCTTTCTCTTTCTCTACATGTGCAGTTTCGATGTGGACAATGGCACGTCATCAGGTCGCAGCCCCCTGGACCCAATGGCCAGCCCGGGCTCAGGCCTCATCCTGCAGGCCAACTTTGTCCACAGCCAACGGAGAGAGTCGTTCCTCTACCGCTCTGACAGTGACTACGACCTCTCGCCGAAGTCTATGTCCCGAAACTCCTCCATTGCCAGTGACATGTGAGTGCTTCACATGTTTGTTGCCTCCACCTGAACCTTCATGAAATCCACACCGATGCCTCCATGTCGGGCCAAATGTGGTTTCTGCGGTTTTTCTGCCTCTCTGGGGCCGCGTGACATAGCTGGATGTTTATCGCACCCGCTCTTGAAGCTGCTGCGCTGATTGCCTTGGTCCTGATGGGAAGTGTGCATGACCAACAGCTGATTGTGTAGTGTCAGAGCTATTTTTATCCACATCCAGTAGCACAAATGAGGGGGTCAGTGACAAAGTATCAACAAGCAAAGGTCATGTGTCTGATATTTTGTTGCTTACGTTAGTATCATTCATCACGGAAATTTAGTGTATTTTTGGGCTGCTTTTGATTTGTGTAAATTCTGATTTCAAATGTAAACATAGTAGGCATCTTCGTGGACAGTGTATAAGATAATAGATCCGTTTCTCACCCAGTGGAGGCTATCCGGTTACATCCACTGTATACTGAGTGCTACAGGAAATAAAATATTGACTGAAAACCTGGCATTTCGATCCAGTGTGCTGCAGGAAGACAAGACAAATAGACAAAAGCATGAAAAACATCATCCTGCAGTAACCTTAGACTTCCTCCTCACTGCTGCTGCTTTTTGCTCTGCAGTAATAAACCAGTGACCCTTCATCGACCTACACCCACGATCCAGTTACCGTGTTAAAAACCATTACTGCAAGTTTTCATTCATTCTCCTTACGCATCTTTTTTTTTCCTGCTCAAGGAAACCTGAGATATGCAGCGTAGAGCAACAGCTCTCTTTATGATATTCGTGATAACTAGTGCAGGGCTTGTTCTAATCCTGCCTGTTTGGAATGAGTCGTTTGATTGACATGTGGATGCTTGTTGCAGCTTTCTTTCTGAAACTGTACAAGTGAGCCGCAGTAATTGAGTCACGACGAGTGGAACCTTTGCCGCTGCTATGCTGGTCACCTGTTTATTCAAAGTTTATTGATATTGAACGAATCGCGTGTCCAAATCGCACCAAAATCAATGCTGTGCTTCAATGGGCCGTTAACAAAACACTTATGAAGCCCAATAGGTGAATTGTTATTGAGGTATGTGTTCCTCAGACAGACAGACTGATCTGATATTATTATAGAATTTCATAACAAAGAGGAAGATAATCTAGCAATGTACATGTTTGTGCCCCTAAAAGACTGTTGGATTTGGATAAAATATGAGCAGCCATTATTGAACACATCGTGTTCTCTGTCTTCTCGTCCCTCTCAGATATACAGTATAGACTGCCACCTTTACTCTGAACATGCTCTGTTTGTCTTGTGACAGGACACATGACAAGCCTTTCATGCCACATGTCAGTGGGTGTGTGAAATACGTGGCTGTGGTCTTGTACAACGTAACAGGAGACTGGGTGACACTAACACAAGCCTGTCACCTGAGTAAATGTCGAGTGTTTACAGTCTGGGCAGGAATCAGACTCTTAAAATCCCTGAAGTCTGAACACAACTATGTTACTTGTACATAAAAATGTATTCATTAAATTTGGAAACCGTGTCAAACTATTTCACCTTGTGAAGTTCGGCCTCGATTGTTACCTGATGTTTTGAGTAAACATGTCACTGTGACTAAGAGCATCAGAGCCACTGAAACTAATTTGATGCGATGACCCCCGCTCCCTTCACCCCCTCTCTCCCTCTTTGACCTTTGCAGAAGATCATCACACTACTCTGTTATAGAATGTCAGTGTCACATTAAACTGCATCGAATATTAACGCCGCTCTCTTTCTTGTCTTTCAGTCATGGTGACGATATGATTGTAACGCCATTTGCACAGGTGAGCTCTTGCACCAGTTCTTCCCTCCATGTTTTATATTGATGAATGAACCCTGTATGATTCTGTCCTTACTGTGATCCCTGCAGGTTCTTGCCAGTTTAAGAACTGTACGGAACAACTTTGGTGCATTAACAAATCTACAGCAAGACAGAGCATCCAATAAGTAAGTCTGCCACTTTATGACTGAGGTGTTCTCCTGAATGAGAGGCAGTGAGTTGAGGTCATTCACATACTGCTCAGAGTTTGGCTTTGCTCGCCACCTGCTGTTCATATTGAGTACTACAACAACAGTAGTTATGTCGGAGCATGGTGCTCCTTGTGGTGCCACCTCACTGCTTGAGTTTAAAACCAAATATCTGTAGCTAAATTATTGATTGTTTTGTTTAAGTGAAATAAAATTGCTCAGTGTGTGTTTTTGTTTCAATCATGACAGGAGATCACCCATGTGTAACCAACCACCCATCACCAAGACCACCTTCACAGGTATGTGGACAGCCAGAGTGGAACAATGACGTGCGTCCTCAATGTGTGTGGGTCTTTGTGTACATTTTAGGACATATCTCAGACTCAAGACTAGTTAATTGGGGGTTACTGCTTCAGTTACTTTATCGAAAATGCTACATCCCCAATTCAGAGTTGATGATTTTTTTTTTTATTACCTTTAGTGGATGCTTTTATCCAAAGTGACTCACAATTAGTGCATTCAACATCTATGAGGGGCCATTTAGAGGTTCAGTAACTTGCACAAGAACACTTTGGCATGCAGATAAGGAAGACTAAGGTTAGAACTGCCTTCTGGTTGAAGGATGAATGCTCTACCACAGCTGCTGTGGTTGAGGGGTTAAGGTTACATTAGGTGTATGTAAGTAGTTGTTGTAGTTATTAAAGGAAGGGTCTCCTGGACATGAATGACAGGTGGGGTAATGTCCCCAACAGTGACCAAAGCAAACATTGGTTATGGTTATTGCATCCACACATGCTTACTTGTGTCAGTGTGTAAGATTTGTGATGTATCAGCGATAACTTTTCCCATAGCTGATGTAACCATTATTAGTATTGTTAGGATTAGCGGTATCATTGTACTTTAAATCCACCATGTTTTTAAGGTAATGTCTTTGTGTATTGTGAGGTGTGGAGGAGATGCTGGCAAACATAAACATACTGTGCAGGAAGCCAAAGAACATGAACATAATATCCAACATGGTCAGAATACAAACATGGCTTGAGCATATCTTACAGAGAATTGGTTCTGTTGTCTAAATGATGGACGTTTTGAATAGTGTGGCTCTGAAACCGGTTTCATCTTTCATAATGCCATAACCGTAGATTCATCAATACTTCAGTAATGTATATTCAGGCAGTACATACAGTATATATATAGTCATACGTGACTTTGAGTATGATGTACTGTAAATCACTAGACAGAAAGTGAACACTGCACCGTCTGTCTAGCTGAAGTTGTTCTGAGGAGGACATTGCACAGACAGTCTCCAGTGGATCGAAACGAATTGTCCTTGACAGTTACTTTTCTTTTAAGAGTATGAATGACTGTAACCTCGCTGATTCGTTTCCAGGTGACACTATATAACCTTCAACATTTATAAATTATTTCAGCCTTGTTTTGTTTGTAGGAAACATTATATCTATATTATAAATAGCTACCTATAATATATATAATATATATATATATATATAATTATATGCGTACAGACAATAGGTAGAAACATTCAGGCAGATTTGGGTTCTTCCCCATTTGAGGTAGATCTTTCCAGATATTCCTCCCAAGAATCACATTCCTGATACACAACATGCAGGTACTGTATATGAGGAGGAAGTGGGGACATTGCTAAATTTAGAACACAATCATACTGGTTGCACAGCCATAATGGGCCATGTCATAAACAGGTGACAGCTGCGAGTCATTGGATTGTTTGAGAATATTGACTGCTTGCAATGCAAGGACTTACTGAGGCTAAGTCATGCAGAGAAAGACAATAAAGGAAGTATAAATAATAGTAACTCAGTCAAATCAGTCAGGGAGAAGATATTGGTTGATAAAAGTGGATTTGCATTGAGGCTTCTTTTCCCTTCCTGTTTTTCTTTCCATCTTCACCCTCATGGTTCTTTATCACTGATCTGTCTTCAACTTGATGTTGAGATAAAGAAAATCTATTTTTGAATCTTCTCGGGACTAAAAGGGAACTTTTTTTCGTCTTGGTAGAGAATAGATATAAAACTGAAGATGCAAAATATAAAATGCTTAAAATAAAAATTCTTAGTATCTGCTAAGGGGGATTAAGAGACATTGACAGTTCTGTCTCTCTCCATATGTAAGTGTAAATTCAGCTTTAGCACTGGCTTTGTCTATGTTACAACTTCTGATATCAACAACGTACGAAGAAGGAAAACTCACTGCTAGCCAGTTAGCTAATTAGCCAGTCAGGTTTTCACTGTTTGTATCAGTCACTCGTAATGGATCAGAATTATTCATTGCTGTTTGCTGTGAAACGTGATTAACCCTTAATACATGATATGTCATCCATGGACATGACTAGCGCCTGAGTCACGTCGGCAGTGGTGGTGAAGATAACAACTCCCATGATCCCACGCTGCTTCACATCATCATTAAATATTTTGTTATTGTTTTGATTGAGGGGACCCCAAGCGACCAGAATTACCTATTTAACACAACACAGTTTATTGTATATGCCATAACATCACATTTAGATGAATGAAAATAAAAATAATAATAGTCATGAGTAATATTATACACGCTTAGTTTATTCAACTATAGCTTAAATTCAACTTAAATAATATTTAAATACTTCTTAAACTGTGATCAAAATCAAGCTACGTTAACATCAAGGCATTAAGAAATAGCATAAGAATTATAAGTAATGGAATCGCAATAGTGTTTTTTCTTCTCCTTTCTGCATCTCCCTGCCTTTCTATCCTTCCTCCTCCTCCCTCTCCTCTCCCTCCTCCTGCTCCTGCTCTCTTCCTCTCCCGCTCACAGTCCGACTTCAGTGTCGAGCTGCTCCGGAACGTAGTTTGGTTGCAGCCGTGCATCTGTGCAGCAGAGTGGCCTCTCCGAGCGCCGGTGTCTGATGTCGCACTAAGCATGAGAAGAATGTCATTGACGTCAGTGCAGTTGCTGTCAGAAAGAGTAGCACCCCAGCCACTGACACCACACCAGGGAGAGAGAAAGGGAGATGGAGAAAGAAAAGAGGGGAGAGACAGAAAGGAGACAAAAGAGGGAGGAGGAGGAGGAGGAGGAGGAAGGATGTTCTGAGATCAGTGAAGGAGACGAAGCATGTGGGAGTGGAGGGGGACTAATGGAAGGAGGGAGGGAGAGATTTGTCAAAGACAATGAGGCAAGAGAGAGAGAAGGAGGAGTGGACACTGTTGAGAATATGAGGTGACAAAAGAAGTTGAGAGATTGTTAGAGGTTGGGCTCGTACAGCAGGATGACCTGCATGGCAACAGAAAGGACCGGCATGTTTCTTTTATATTATTTTATAATCCATCACTATGAACTGTGAAAGATGCAGGAGCTCATGCAACCTAAACTTTGCATCATTTACTTTCAATTTACAACATCTCACAGTGAACTTAAAGTGGCCAAGCTGCATTTAAACTTAAATGAGCAATGTGTTGCAGAGGCTTTAGGACAAATCTAAATACTCATTTCTTGTTTAGGGGCATCAAGTGATTAAATTTGCTCCTCGTGTATTTTAATCAGCTACTGTTTTCTGTGTCTGCGTAATTGAATTACAGGTCAAGTGTCCCCTCCACCCACCCCGGCCCCTCCCTGCAGGATCACAGATCACATAGCACTTAGAGCCCCGTGCTTTCCCAAATTAGTCAGGGCATCAATATTAATCGGCTTCTGACAAGGTGACTTTTTCTGTTAACGTATAGGGGCCCGACTCTGAGAGAGGTATGTCTTTTCAATTTCAGATTCAAAGAAAGTGATTTGAGCGAGGGCTTACAGCTGTGCTATCATTACCCTATCTGCAGCCATCTGTTTTGTTTACCTGGGTATATTTGTATGCTGAACACATATGTGCATGCATGCACACAGTATAGGAGAGCTCGCAGCCCTGGCTCCCCCTCCTCCATCACTCCAGTCCATGTCTTGTCACTCCCTCTTCCCCATCCATAGTGCAGTCCTCTCAGGCTTTAGGTACAGCTTGGGGAGAGCAGCACGTTTGGCTACCAGGGACGCCAAAGCAACAGCAGCCCACCCCCTATACACACACAGCATCTATAGGAAACACTGGCCAGCACCGGATTATACTTTTGCCTCCTGGATACCATGGATGTTTTTATTGGCAGAGAGGCTGGGGAGACAAAACCATGATGTGTTATGGTTAGCATTTTGACTGTGTGTTAGTGTGTGTGTGTGTGTGTGTGTGTGTGTGTGTTTGTGTGTGAGTGTGAGTGTGTGAGAGGGAGATGTCTTTGTATTTGTTAACCATGTCAGGATGCTGTGAACAGTCTCATGTTTGCTCCGTGCCCGGCACCACTGACATGGATCTACACCGGTTCTGAGCATCTCACTGGATCCTCTTTTCCTCCGTCCCTGTCTTCCCTCCATTCCTCCTACGGCAGACATGGGCCTGCTAAGCAGACTGTTGTTCATCCTACTACATGACTGGAATTACACGTCTCTTATAAATGAAAGAGTAAAGCTCATACACCGAGATCACTGAATGTTCTACATGTGCTGTGCAGGAGGGATAGAGAGGGAATCTGTCTGCGTGAGTTTGTCTGTGTGAGATTCTCTGCTTTTTTCGCTCTGTGGTTTCCCCTCTGTATTTTCTGCTGTGGTCTCCTCACTGTTAACACTCATCTGGATGCCCAGAACTGACTCCAGGTGGCTGTTTGCCATTTGTCACCTGCAACTGTACTCCCTGGGATTATATCTGGTTTATTCTTACCAGGATCTGAACTTTAGCACTGCAAGGAGGCGTCTTTTCACCAAGGGAGTTTTGCGATCATCTGTGGGTTAGGATACAGGACAACAAGGCCCGACCCCCAGGCCCGCACAGCTGGCCCAGCTGTCCAGTATGAAGAGTCACCCATGTGTCTACTCGGGGTATCCCAGCTTAGCTGTTTGTGGGGTGGGAGACCCCGGGCCTGGACCGTCCACTAGCCCTCTGAAGCGGGCCCTTACTGACCCCTTGCCCTCCTGTCTTGCCCCTGCAGAGGAGGCCTACCAGAAACTGGCCACTGAGACCCTGGAGGAGCTGGACTGGTGCCTGGACCAGCTGGAGACGCTGCAGACAAGACACTCAGTCAGCGAGATGGCCTCCAACAAGGTAAGAAGAACTACACAGTTCACACCAATGATCATCTTCAAGAAGTTATACTGTGGACTTAGTAGAACTGGGATGTCTGTTTCTATATTGAAACATGCTGAAGCTGTTACCCAGGATTCACTGTGGTGGGTTATGGCTCATGTGAATAGAGTTTGCCAAAAACTTTGATATAATGATTTAAAGTGTAGTCCAGTGCCAGAGGTATATCTGCTGATCTTTTCTAAAGTTTACACTATTAAAAACCTCATACAGTGTTTGTTACAGGTAACAGGAAGTAGCTGTGGTTGTTTCAACCTCTGACATAAGAATTAGTTGCAAACTATATTACATTCACAGGTCAACTTAATGAAAGAAAGGTCATTTTTTAATAAGTTGCCAGTAAATTTACCATGTCTACAGCCATTTTAAATCAATCCATGTGGGCAACCACAATTCCATTAATCCTAATGTGAAGATACAAAGATGTTCTGGGAGTAGGTAAATTCAGTTTCAGTATATTTGTCGATGATGTGCAGGATAAACTTGTAAAAATCACCAGTCGCACACAGATTTATTTTATTTGACTGATTTTAAGTGTAGTATAATAGTGTGTAGTATAATAGTATAAATGTTCCCTCCCAAAATTCCTGGGTTTGTGACCTGCACCTTTACCATGGAGTCTCGCTCCTTAGTCATCTGTATTGGAGCCTGATGAGCATATGAGTATGTGTATATATACAATGTGCTGTGACACCTGTTCAGCCCTCAGCCATTAAATCACACTCTGGACTGTTCGTGTTGTATTGTCTATATAATTTAATGATAGCATCGTCATGCAGGGAGGGAGATGTGCCGTGAGCATGCTCAGTCGCTTTTAGTGTGTGTGTGTGTGTGTGTGTGTGTGTGTGTGTGTGTGTGTGTGTGTGTGTGCGCGTGCGCACGTATATATATATATATATATATCACCTATGGTGTGTGTGTGTTTGGAGGGAAGCTGCTGTGCTGCTCTGAATGCTGATCAGCTTGGCTCTGGTGATGTCACACACTGTGATGTCACAAGAGGGGGGATGGACCAAGAGGAGCGGCAGGGAGGACAGACAGACAAAGGAATCACACACACTCACCGCTGATGGTACCACACTCACATGCATGACCAGATCATCAACCTCATTTAAAAGTTAAAAGATTTTTCCAAAAAGAAAAAAAGGACCTGTAACATGCTTCGCCTCACCATTGCTCACCAGGACAGCTATCTCCGGTTGTCCTGGCAACAGCCACGGGCCCAACCAGCACGCTCTTTCACTCCAGGAACACACTCACACTCGCATCATAGGTAATACAGTCACTACATCTGCCACACAGCCATTACTTGGTGTCTGTATCCTTCAGACTTTCATTTATCAACCTTCATGTATTAATCAAGGGAAGAAACTATAACATGGAATTCTCTTGAAGTAAAATGAATACAAAAACAGTCATTTCCAGTCAGTGTGTAATGTCTGTGACAGTCACCATCTGTACTAGTGCTCAAGTAGTGTCCCTTCCAGTCACATTGTGTAGTTTATGCATTTCACCTCTGAATGTCAGTGTTATTCTATAAAGTTGAACAAGGTGACATACCTGTCACACCCAGGAGATGACGTGTATATTATTTTAGCTGAAATACATAATGAACATTAAAATTCTAATTTCACTATGCAACAATATATTTTTTAGAGTATAATGGGGCCAATAAAGTTCATTCTAACAGTGTCTTTGAGATGGTGACAGTTCTCTTTAGCTGATCGTTGCACTGATGGCTCATGGTTCTAGTTTAGGATGCTCCTGTGGTTACACGTCCACTCTTTGTTTGGGTGTTGATGTTCCTGGACTCAGCAGCTCCGACTCTGCTATAGGGAGAAAAAAGTGCTGATCAAATTAATGCATTGTGGTTAATTTTGCGAGTTCTTAATGGTGTAATCATGACATCATATATATTGTTGTCCACAGTCGGATGTGTGTTGTATCCATTTGTGAGTCATCCAGAACATCATCAATACTCGTTTGCTTCCTTATCTTTCCCAGTAAGCAAACATGTTCAATGCATCGGCCTTTGCATGTTGATTTCCTGGCTGTGCACACTGTTGTACTCATACAGTCCATCCAGGAATTGGCTTCTTGGATTTGAAAAAGATATGATCAGCTCATGATCAATACAGATACTCAACTGACACCCAATCAAATCAAATCATTTTATTATTTATCTTTATATTTTATAATTTTATATTTATATACTATTCTTTAGTAGAAGAGTAATGGATTTCAGCTGCTTTTGATTCGATAAAAGGCATGATTATTTGTTTTGTTGCTTAAGGATCTTCGGGGCAATAGGTTAATAGGTATTTCTTTGACTATAAGTCTTGATGTCATTTACATCTGTTGAAGATTTGTTTTTTTCTGAATGAAGTGTTGAATCTCAGCATCAAATCCACCACCCATCTCACTTCATTCTGGGTAAAAGTGGACTTTGTAATTAGGTTTGTTTAGTTATTATTCATCTGAATCAAGTGCTGCTAAAATGTAGTAGGCGTTAGAAATCTGTTGGAATATCACCACTACAAAAAGAAAGACATTTTGTAGTTGTTTTCGGGTTTTACTGGTTGTTTTTGTTCTTTGGTACTTCAGTTGATACATGTAGGTCAAAGTGTCTGAAGTAACTGAACACGTTTCTTGTCAGGTTTGTCTTTTTTTCTTAAGTTTTCTCATTAGGCTGTATGTCACTTCCCCCACTTATGAGAGTGGCTCTTTGTGTATGTTGGGTTGTCTTTTTATTGTTATATCTCACTCTATTTTTGATTACCCTGTGGGTCAGCGTATCAAGCATATTGTTTTAATTCAAACATACTTTTGCCAGGAATTTCTTTATCCTAAAGAAACCTAAAGCTTATATACATCAAAAGTAATGAATAGACAAAAGGTAAGAATCATAGTGCCATCATCGTGACTCATAGAATGACATCATATAGTGTAATAATGCATTCACTTTTGCAACCTATTTCTTTAGAGACTGGATCTACAAGTTATAAAAAATCGTTCGATATGAAAGACATCTTGATAATGTCATTATTAAGTGGTATTAATACAATATAAGAAAGTTTGCATTGACTCATTGGATTATATACAGCACAGTGTTTTTCATCATTCAGTGTATCACACTGGTATCTGACCCTTTAGCATTACTGTTCATGCATTCTAGTATTTCCTTCTCCACATTTGTTGAATGGACAGCAGACTTACATACTGTTCATAGTCAGCAGTACATTCATTGAAAACAGTCGCGGCCATTAGCTCTCTGTGTTCTGCAGAGAGGGGGTGTCTGCTCTCTGAATAAGTGTGCAAAGTGAGAAAAGACACAAATGCAGCAGAGATGTGGAGGCGTCGTGAGCTATATACAGCAGGGAGCAGATATTTTTGGTCATTTTGCCGAACAACAAATTACACACAAGTCACAGCTATACTTGGTGTGACACTTTCCAATTTTTACCCAAGAGTTTGTGTTCACACCTCTTGGCTAAGCCATCAATATGTGTGTGTATTGTGTGACAATAAGAGGGAGTTTGTGTGTGCGTGGGTGTGCGTGCGTGGGGGGCCTGTGCTGTCCTGCTTGGCTCTGAGTCAATCAAAGCCATTGGATCTCAGTTAGCCAGTGGCCTCATCTGCTCCAGCGTAGCTGTAAATTACTCGCAGTGCCAGGCTGGCTGCAGGGGTGGGGTGTAAAGTAGGAAGAGACAGATTTGGTCCCTTTTGAATCCATGAAGCCACTGGACCATCACAGACATGCACATGTTCCCTCACATGCAAAGCAAAAGAGAGAGAGAGAGAGAGAGAGAGAGAGAGAAGACCTCCTCTAGTGTATAAGCTGCCTGCGATCGTTTTAAAATTAATGCATGTGTTCTCTATAATAAGTAATAGTGAAAAGCCTCTTTACTAAAGCATAGAAAAGATAATCCCTCACAAATGTTAACCTGAAAATATAAACATTTTTACCTGTACATGTAATTCTATAATCTTTGTTTCCGTGCTGCCTCATCGTTAATCAGTTAAACCGTGTGGATCACACAGTTTTATGCTTTATCACTAAAGACTCCATCATTGCTTTCTGTATTTCTAAGTTAGATACTTCTTTACTGACAGAAAATTATAGTGAAACTACCTTACATCCCAAATATTGTAACCAGAGCTGCGTATTTCAGAAATATGATACTAGTGGAATCCATTTCAAAACAAAAGATTAAGAAAGTTTCTCTATTAAACAACGTTTTTTTATTTGTCAAAAAACGCCTCAAGTATCAAGTATTAAATTCTCAAGTATTAAATGTTTGTTTTTGATTTTTTTGTAAAATAGTTAACTGCTGAAAGGTTGGTCTGCATCAAGAACCATTTCAACAAAATATTATTGTATTGTTGTCCTTAGCTACAGCATTGTCTAATAGCCTAAGATCCATGAAAACAGTGTCCATATTCAAAGTTAAAATGTTTGTGTGGGATGGTCTCGATAATCTCCTTGGAGGATTGTAAATGTGTTTATCAGATTTATTTTTAATTATCCTATAATGATTTTTGTCACTTGATTCGCTGTGAGGGTGGTTTTATATATCATCTGATTTAAAATATTTTGAATAAATATCTCTGAGATTTCAAATAAAATAACATTAAAGTAGGATATGGTGAATTTGTAGCTTTAGAAATGGTTGTTTTCAGTGTTTTGAATTTGGGACATCTGTGCCGTTACTGATGGGAAAAAGTCCTCCTTCAGTGAGGTATTGATCCTTGTTTATAACTAAAGCAACAACCTCTTGAGCTCAGTGACGCAGCCTGTGTGGACAGTTTCTTTCTATCTCAGCCATCATCCAATGATTGTGACGCTCATTATTTTTACAAGGTGAATGGGCTTTTCATGTATTAATATCATCTGTGACTCAACCCCCCCATGAATAGTGAGGTGACTTTTTAATATTATGTCATGTTGGATGAGGTAACCATATTGTACAGAAGGTTAGGTCACTCAACACAAAAGCACACACACACACACACACACATCCACTATGAATGTATCTTGCACACACACAAACATGCATTGTACTGTGTGTGCATGTGTATGCGCACACAGCGTCACAACCTGCTGCACTGCAGGAATCGAAGGAAAGGGGGGCAGGCAGCAGCCGACTTCAGGTCTGTTCCAATCCAAGCCAATCAGAGGTTACGATGAGCTCACACTTCTTCCGTATCTGGGCCCTGATTTGCTGCTGTTGTGTGACACGGTGAGGGAAGCAGCCTGTGCGCTTCACATGGGAGCTTGTGTCATAGCCACAGATGCAGGCAGGCAGTCGGGCAGCCAGCCCTGTTTGGGAGCTGTTGATTGGGGGATTTTTTTTTTTGCTGTCCTGGTGCTTTGGCATCTACCAAACATCCGCTCCATCATCAATTATTCACAACCTCAGCAGTGTGTTCCTGTATCTGAGTGTGTGAGTGCATGCACATGTCGCTGTGTGTCACAGTGTGTGTGGTCACGATATGCTCTCGTCGGATCCTCGCCTTCCTGCAACTCCTCTCGACTCCATGGGACATGGGCTTGTTTCTGTGGATATTTGCAGGACAGGAACATGATGTTTCATTTCTGGACTACAGCGCTGTTACTGCTGATTTACACTGAACTGAGCTCTGAATCTTCTTCAGGTTGAGGTTTTCATCAAACAGAGCTGCGGACTGTTTTTGTTTCGCTAGCTGACGAAGGCTTTTGTCACCTAAACTGTATTTTTTGGGGCTCATTTGTTGATTTATCAAAATGCCTGAAGCAAATTATCTGCTCTCTGTGTCCTGGGGATATATAAAGGTAAGATGTGGTGTCAGATCAGTGTATGTTGTTTCATTATTCATGTATTTTCTTATACATCTATTTTAATGTGACATGCAGAATGGTCAGGTGTATCACTATGTTGACACAGATGTGGGTGCTGGCTTTTATGACCACAAATAGAAAGAAAACTGTGTATTGGTGATTAAAATCACGTAGACATAGCAGCTTTCACTGAAAAACATATGCAGATATTATATTTAATGTATTTTTAAACAAGTTTTTTTGAACAGTCTTTAAGGTTTTTCCACACAGGTGTCATACATGAAATAAAATGGAAATTCTTAGAGCTCTTAGAGCTTGTTGGATCAAGAATCGTCTGAGTCGTTGGGTCACTCTGTATTCTTTATGGAATGATGGATTTATTTTATTTTCAGGCATCCCACATTTATAAATTAAAAACAAAAGATATTTATTTTTTTGTTTAAGTGTTTTTTTGTATAAATAACACTTATTAGTTTTGAAATAATATCTTTCATAATATCTCTACCGGACTTGCGTCACTTATCCACGCTTCTGGCTCTTATGACCCCTGAATAGCACACTACAGATGGCTGTTTGCCTAATGTGTCTCCATTTTAAAAAGCCTTGCACTGAATACCTGTGGGAGTTATTCAATAGCATGTCAATACACATTGTGCAGTAAGCACTCTGCACTGTTGTAATGGTCTATTTCAAGTGATCTCTATTGATCTGTACAATTAATCAATAAATGTACATTATGCATTTGGCCTGGAGGCAGAGGGATTCAGACAATGCAGCGGGTATGTTCGAGAGGTTTTTTGTTTCTCAATCGTTGTTACATTTGTTTTGCAACCACTTGAAAAGATCCCTGATTTTAAGCGTTCTCCTCCACATCAATCAGTCTGGTTTTTAAATCAAAGCCGAAGCTAAATTTGGGTCTGCCACTTCAATTACGTACAGGGGAGAGAGGGGCAGACGGTGTGTCAGAGGAAAACTAATATGGGGAAAAAAAGACAATGGGTTTCTGATTACATACATTTCTGGCAGTAGCACTCTGAACTGCTGTGTGTGTATGTGTGTGTGTGTGTGTGTGTGTGTGTTTGGTGACTTTCCTGGGTACAGCTTCTTAGATGTGACTGGAAGTGTCCTAGTAAAAGGTCTCATCTAGCAGGATGATCCATGATGTTAAAATAATTATTTTTAATAAAATCAATGCTTCTGTTTGACCATCGTCACAATGATGCTATCTCACCTTTTTCCCCTCAAATTCAATCAAGTTGCATTAAATTGCACAAACACACAGAAATCAGTCTCCTAATTGATTTTTTTCCCTTGAAGATTCATGAATTAAACCCTGGATAACATTGTTGTTGTATAACAATGTTAAAGAAATAAAAAAGCCACACCAAAATTGAAAGGGTTCTTCCCTGTTCCATCCCACATCCAGTCACCATGTTTCATGTAAATCTGTTCAGTTGTTGCTTTTAGATAATCAGACTATGCTCTGTAACATAAAAAAATTATGAAAATAATATTTTAGTAACTCGTGTTCTCATTCAGAATAATAGTTATTATTATTGAATATTGTCGTCCACATGTTCGTCGATGTTATTTTTTTGCCCTGGTTTACAAACTGTTAAACCATCATCTGCGTGTGTGTCCCTTTTCCAGTTCAAGAGGATGTTGAACAGGGAGCTGACTCACCTGTCAGAGATGAGCCGCTCTGGGAACCAGGTGTCCGAGTTCATCTCCAGCACTTTCTTGGGTGAGTGACGACACAGGATGATATCACATCAGCCACTGTTCACATTAATAAAACAAAGTGCACCACAAATATTCACTTTCCAAAAATGTCTTTCTGCGAATCTCCAGACAAGCAACACGAAGTGGAGATGCCATCCCCTCAGATGCAGAAGGAGAAGGAGAAGAAGAACAAGCCGATGTCTCAGATCAGCGGGGTGAAAAAGCTGCAACACTCCTCCAGCCTCACAAACTCCAACATCTCTCGCTTTGGAGTAAAGACTGAAACTGAGGATGAACTCGCTAAGGTGCGTTTGCGTTAAAGGAAAAGACGGAAGTCAGAGGAAAAAAAGTACATGTCGTCTGTAATTGTGTCTCTGATTCCCTTTTTCAGGAGCTGGAGCATGTGAATAAATGGGGCCTTAATGTTTTTAAAATCTCAGAGTTCTCTGGGAATCGGCCGCTAACAGTCATGATGTACACGATATTCCAGGTAACATTCGACACTTTCACTCCAGATAAATTCTTGTTGAATCCTGAAACAGTTTTGACTGTAAACTCCCTCCCTTCTCTCTCTTCTGGTTTGTAGGAGAGGGACTTGTTAAAAACTTTTAAAATTCCACTCGACACCTTTATAACATACCTGATGACCTTAGAAGACCATTATCATGGCGATGTGGCCTACCATAACAACATCCATGCTGCTGACGTCACCCAGTCAACTCATGTGCTGCTATCCACCCCTGCCCTTGAGGTGAGGTCCTCACACACACACACGCACACGCACACACACACACACAGTGGACCCGATTACACACATGCACACACATGTACACATACCCACGCCTCCACAATCAGCTTCAATCAAACTCTTGCTCCAGGTCCAATCAATGGCTCTTACTTTCTTACTTGCAAGGATATTTTTGTCCCACGACCTGATTCTCTCATCAATGCCCTCCTTTCCTCCCATCCCCTCTGTGCCTGGTTCTTTGGTTCTTTTTCATCCAGGCTGTGTTCACAGACCTCGAGATCTTAGCTGCCATCTTTGCCAGTGCGATTCACGACGTGGACCATCCTGGAGTCTCCAACCAGTTCCTCATCAACACCAGTGAGTCTAAATTTGGTGCCGTGTTGACAACTACGTCAGTGGCTCAGTGGTGCTATCAGTGCATATTAACAAACAGGAACACACACTCCCAGGCTGATACGCAGGTGGGAACATGCACACTGTAGCCTCACACACACACACACACACACACACGCACACGCACACACACACACACACACACACACACACACACACACNTTGTCAGTAGAATAATTGAGTCGTGTCTCCAGGGTGAATTCTCCTGATGCTGTGTTTGAAATATTTTGAGTAAAACTCTGACCCAGTTCAGAGTGAGAGCAACGTAGCATGAAAGACACACAACACACACTGTTTAATGACAGATGCTTAACAGAGCAAATACCTGAAGCTCCCCCTTCCTCACACCCACACACACACACACACACGCACACACCCACACACACACACACACACACACACACACACACACACACACACACACACACACACAGTGGTCTTATGCAGACAATTCAACTTTCTCTCCAGAGTCAGTTTCCCTGTTACACAGGATCAGCCACTGTTTTTTTTTTATAGAATCATGTGGGCTGTGATAGAAAGATGTGATTAAAGTGTGATGTTGCATTATTCTTGCGCCCGAATTGTAAAGTGGAGTCATAAATACAGACCGATCCCTCAAAATCTTGAAAAATACCACAGTGGAAGAACTGAACTGAGCCTTTAACTGTGTTGTTTTGGTAAGTGTCCTCAAGCCAGAGGTGAACCCCTTCTATATCTGCTCTAACTGACTGACTCAGTCGTGGCTGGAGGTGATTCACATATCACCTTACTTTGGTCATATAGAGGAAAACAAACAAAGAGTTCACACAACCGCTAGGCTTCACCTTAAACAGAACAAATGTGAGTGTTACATAAGAGCCTTAGTAAAACCTTATAAGAACAGAAAACAGACACTGCACAGTCTCACACACTGAACACACAAAATCTTTGAGTGTGTGTGTGTGTGTGTGTGTGTGTGTGTGTGTGTGTGTGTGTGCACGCGCACGTGCACGTGCATGCGTCTTCCCATAAGCCCAAATGGGGAATCCCTGAAGTGAGGGCAGTGTGAGTCATCCTGGTTATGACGGAGCCACCAGACTGATCCAGTCAGCAACAGAGCAGGATCAGCTTTCTCCTCTCTGCTGCTTCTGTTCCACAGTGGCCAAGACTAATGCATCTTAATGGAAAATCTAAATACAGCTGGAGGACCTTCAAATGACCCAGAGTGGGGGAAACCTCTCCATGGAAAACATGCTGGGGCTTTCTCTTGCGAGGGCTGGATGCTGTAGCACATGTAATAATGACGACAGAGATGGCAGAGAAAATGAGTTCCTGGTTCTGTTGAAGAGCCCATGTTGCATATGGGCAGAAAATACCCAAATTCTGTCAATATCTTGTATTTTTATCAATTTCACTTTCCATAAACTATAACGATCCCTCTTGTCTTCCCTGCAGATTCGGAGCTAGCGCTGATGTACAACGACTCGTCCGTGTTGGAGAACCACCATCTAGCAGTCGGTTTCAAGCTCCTACAAGAGGAGAACTGTGACATCTTCCAAAACCTGACCAAAAAACAAAGACAATCACTGCGAAAGATGGTCATTGACATTGTGAGTAAAAAGATCTAGAACGTCCAATATATGAGATATCATACTTCTTGAATTCGTCAGACTAATGTCGTATTTCTTGGTGTCCGAAGGTTCTAGCAACAGACATGTCGAAGCACATGAATCTACTGGCTGATCTGAAAACTATGGTGGAAACAAAGAAGGTGACCAGCTCGGGTGTTTTGCTGCTGGACAACTATTCTGACAGGATACAGGTCAGAATACAGCTGTTTGAATAAGTTCCATATCACTGTGTTTTTTGATTTTTCTTGCACATGTATCCCTTAAAGTTTCCGCATCAATTTAAAAAGTTTGTATACAAAAATGTACACTTGGTAACTGCAGAAACTGAAAATTCGTATGGTGTTGAAAGCATCTACTGACACTGGTTTGCATCAAAGTTTAGCTTGATATTTTGCACTTTTGTAAATTAGAGTGTAGATACCCGACCTGAGCTCATCGAGAACAGGGTTCGGACCAAAATTTTGAAATAGTCACATTGGCTGGGTTATCTACTACATTCTTTCCACCACTAAAGCCTGTTATCGCTGAAAATGTCGGGCTCTAGTTTGGACAGTAAAATCTGAATGCCTGCCAGGTTCGGACAGATAATTGTGTCCTCGGCTACCCTCTATTGTAAACCATGCTTCAACTGAACCCTCGTGCTTCAGCATACCTTACACAACGGAACGTGTGGCGTCCACTGGTTCCGTGTTTTACACCTTGCTGTTTGTTATTCTCAGGTTCTCCAGAACATGGTGCACTGTGCGGACCTGAGCAACCCCACCAAGCCTCTGCAGCTGTACCGGCAGTGGACGGACCGCATCATGGAGGAGTTCTTCAGCCAGGGTGACCGGGAGAGGGAGCGGGGCATGGAGATCAGCCCTATGTGTGACAAACACAACGCATCAGTAGAAAAGAGCCAGGTAGTGCACACAGACTCACAAATGTGCTGTTAATGCGTATGCCAACTGCGCTGAGACAAGCACTGAATGATCTTTCTTGCTTCTTGTAGGTTGGTTTCATAGACTATATCGTTCACCCTTTGTGGGAGACGTGGGCTGACCTGGTCCATCCGGATGCCCAGGACATCCTGGACACGTTAGAAGACAACAGGGAGTGGTACCAAAGCACCATCCCCCAGAGTCCCTCTCCTGTGTTGGACGATCCTGAGGACGGCACTCGACCCCCAGGAGGGGACAAGTTCCAGTTTGAGCTCACCCTGGAAGAAGACGGGGAGTCGGACACTGAGAAAGACAGTGGCAGCCAGCCGGAGGAGGAGGAGGAGGATGAAGAAGAGGAGGAGGAGGAAGAGGAGGACAACAGCTGTACTGACTCTAAAACACTCTGCACGCAGGACTCTGAATCCACTGAGATTCCATTGGACGAACAGGTGGGGGAGGATGAAGAGGAGGAGGAGGTGGTGGAAGAAGAGGAAACACCTTGCTCGCAATCGTGCGTGGTGGAGGAAGAGGTAGCAGAGGTGAAGGAGGATGAGGAGGACGATGAGGACAAGGAGAAATCCCCAGACACATAGCAGTTTATAGACAGCACCTGATTAACTGTTCTTAGTAATTACAGATGATTATTTATAGAATATTTTTTGGGTTTTGTGGAGTCTGTCTGTGTTTTTTATACATCTATGTTTATGGTTCCAAAGCGTTCGCTGCTCTCCACCTTGGCCACTCCTCCCGTCAGCTTTGTTTAGACACGCCCACCGGTACTTCTTCAAGTTTTTTTGCACTCAGGAAAACACCTTTCCATTCCCATTCGTACTGAGGTGGTGTGTCTTTATTTCAATTCTACACCCCCCCTCCCCTTTTACAATCTTTACCTTTAGCACACGGATGAACAGTTCAGATACATAACCTCACATTTTTCTTCCCTCCGCTTCATCTCAGCCTTGCCTGAAAGTTTAGCAGTGTTTTTTATCAAGTGCCCATACTCCACAATGACGTTACCGGCGTGTTCAAGGAGAATCTCCTTCTCGATTAGGTCATTTCCTCCACGCTACAAATTAGGAGGCGCACTCCTGGTGTTCTTGCTGAAAAGCCGACGGGACGCCGCAGAGACGAAAGCTGCAGCGCACTGGGGGAGCTTTTCAAGACACATCTCTGATGTGGTTGTCTTCCTAGAAAACCTGACTGACACAAAGCTCAAATCTACACAGCCATCAACGCTGTCCTAGACCTCTTTCATTTTTTTATTGTACTGTATGTACTGTATGTAAGAGTCAGATATTTTCTAGAATTTACTTTTGCAATCCTTGGTTTTTTGTTTGTTAGCGAGGATTTTCTTTTGGAAACCAACACGGGGAGAAATGAGTCTCATACATCCGGTGTTTTTGAAGGGAGGTATCTTTACAGCCGGGTTACATTAGGAGTTTTCTGAGGTGCTCCAATAGCATTTATACTCTCCCAATACCACTGTACTCATATTTGGTTTAGTCCTGTGAGTGGAAATTTGGATTTTCCTTTTAACCTTTACTTTTGGTGAGTTTTCACTAAGCAGGAAGCAGAGACCTGAAGTCTCGTGCTTTGCTCTCATTGAAATTGTTTTCTGATGTGGATGACGCCTTTACATTTTCCTTATTGTTGCCTGCAGTTCTTTTTGAACACATTCTGAGACAATGCAATGCTTTGTAGTCGATACAAAAAGCACCTTTTTTTTAGACGCTTGATTAGTGCTCCGAGTATACAGAAATAGTAACATATTAATAAGAAAAAAATGACTTGGGTGATTTTATACCAATGCTATGAAAGTCTTTTATTGTTTTTTATTACATTTTTCTCCCACATTTTAATTTGAAGTATGTGTCACCAACAGCCTCACACCTGTTGTGAGGTGTGAGGCTGTTGGTCATTTTTCCTTATTCTCCATTCATTTTATTTTCATCTGAATTACATTTAATTTGCCATCACAACATGAAACTCAATGGCTGTCTTTGTTTTTGACAAGACAATCAGCCTCATTGCGTGGTCGTCACATGAGACTATCCTAGGTAGATACTCTAATGCACTGATATATTCATATATCACCACTTTCATCTTTTTATACATTTAAACACGCCAAAACACTCATTCATGAGCAATGCTGTCTTACATCTCGGCCAAGTGACTCTTCCTTTTTTTTTTTTTTTTTTCTATCATTTTTCACTGTACACCTGATGCTATTATTTATTGCTATATTTTTCTATTTGTCGAATTGTTTGTTTTTTTGCAATATAAAGTTGGTACAGTTAATATCTTACTGTAGCATAGACCAGTACAGGCTTACCAGTTACAATACCCAAATATACTTTTATTTCTCACTTGTACATAAAATATAGAAAATCAACAAAAGAAAAAAAAACACTTGAAATTCTGCACACTGCTTTTTTTTTTTTAAACGAGTGCTTGTTTTAATTTTGTGTCATTTCAAAACTTTTTATTTAATCTTTAATTTTGTGCCAAGATTTATTTTCTCTCTTTTTTTCCATCCTCACCCGATGCCCTTACCTGTACTAAAAAAAATTCTGGTTTTATCGCTGTTTACAAACATATATTTATTGTGCTGTATATAATATATAATTATTAATGTTATTACTATCATAATGCCGTTTGTTGTAAATGGTTGATTCTTATCATCCCTTTTGGTGATGGTGTGGCTGTATTTACGTACCTCTTGTTGAGAGAATGTTTATTACACATGAGCTTCAGTATAAAAAAAAAAGATCCATCGACATCTTGCTTATCTGAGAACTAGCTCAGCGAAGAGAGGGGGAAAGCCAAATTGTTTTTTAAAAAAAGAAGCTGTTCCTTGGCCCATGGGCTGTGCCTTAAATTCAACGCATGTAATTTACCTAAGCTTTTGATTTCTTTTTATTTTCTAGTTCTCTCTTTTTGCTGCATTAGTGAATCTCCTGGCTTGAGTTGGCCTGGTCTGCTGTTGTGTGGGGGGGGGAGGGAAGTTGCCTTTTACCGTCGCAGCCAAACACAATTTTGCATCAAAAAGTTTGGCACTGGGTGGAAACATACGTTGTCGGTGCAGAGATTCAGGTCAACTGCAAGTCAGAGATTTGCTACTTGAGTGACGTGTGGCCGATAGCTGGATGTGGAAGAGTCATGTTTGCTGTAGACCTGGTCGCAACAACTCACGCCTCCTTTACACCCCGCCACTATACGCTCAAAGACGTGACTCAGCAGGTTGGATGTGGACAATATGGGAGCAACTTTGCCTCTTTGTCAATTGTGTGTGAAGTTGCTGCAGTGTTGTCCACATCCAGCCGGCTGTGTCACAGCTACAAACACTGAATGGGGCACTACAGGAGTGTGCAGTTGGACCGCGGCCTGTGAAGCTGCAAGGCTTTGAGACGCATCTGCATGTTCAGCCACTGCTGCATTAATTATGGCTGAAACACTGACGGTGTGTTGCTTGTCTATGCTCGGCCCACACTTCCACTCGCATTACTTGCAATATCCAAAACCACTGACATCCTTCTGCCTGGACAGGAGAAGGGTTTAGTATATTTGTGTAGTGAAGGGGACGGG